GACTTCGGTGAGTGTGTCGCACATAGTCTGAGATCATCCATACCAACCGCTGGGTACTGCGTAGATGCATGTTGCACCATTGCCGAGCCGCAGCCTTGATACAAGGTCTATAACTCTGCCTTCTCTCGTCGCACCATCAACATCATGTATCACATCAAGCAACTATCCTGTATTACTCTTCCATTCCCGTTGACGCTGCGTTGTATTCAGTCTGTACAGCAATATCTGTATAGTATATTTGTGCCAATTCCATTACATTCAACTTGTGTCGTCATCGTAGTTTTGCCGACGTGAAGCTGAGAATTGCAAGCGATCATGATGGGCTCCTACGTGCAGACGTGTGCATAGTAGCACTTACGAGCTCGTGTTGCTCTTCGTGCTGCGTCCGACGTATCCATCTTCGACGCGCCTTCCAAGTGTGTCGAACCTGGTAACTCTCATTAATTGGCTGGGGCCGCTGGGCGATCCGAGTCGCCACAGCGCGGTCACATGCCTGAGGCCACGGTTTATTAGATTCACTGCATGCGGTCCATTACCATCCTACCTGCTCACCGTGTTCAGGCGTTCTATTACACAGCGTAGAAGGCCGCAGCCCACACATCCTGGTTTGATTTACGGTATTGCGAAGGAAACCAGCGGTAATAATCAGCACCTTCGTCGCCACGAGTCAATACAAGCCTGAGCCTTGTTCTCCGAGACACTCAAGCCTTCACGTATTTCGTACTCAGCTGAGTACTTGTTTCTACTAAATCTATCCTGCCCTTCCAACCTCACATCCAGCCTGGCAATATGACTTGGGTCCTGGGTTGGCCTCTGTACTACTACGACGCGATCGACATCGCCAAAACGCACAACCTCGTCAAGGATCCGAATGCTGACGACGTAGCCTACGCCGAAGCCGCACAGGAATGGATCGTGGACAGAGCTGGCCTGATTCCGGTGTTCTCTTGCTGGGTCGACGATCTGCCGCAGCTCGTCTATGCTGCATACGTCGACTACGGTGATAGTCCTAATCCCCCAGCCGAACTCAGCCTCGAGGATAAAATGACTGACAAGCAGTACCGCCGTCTGAAGCGGGCAATGCCTCTCAAGGACTTCGGTTGGTACCAACATAACGACCCATCTAGCGTTCTATACGGTAACTTCAGTCTATGACTTCTTATGCCTGTCATGACTGATCTGGGATGGGAGAGTACGACAGTGATGAGTATAATGGCGAAGATGGTGATGAAGATATCGACACGGCCAGCGAAGGAACTGCTCGGAGCGACAACGAAGCGGTAACTAACGGTGTTGTCTTGCAATCAGACATGCTCTCAGAGGACTCCAGCTCTTCTGAGACAGCCCAATCACTGCTGACGGAGTTCGGTGAGTTCGTCGCATACATATGATGTGATCCCTTTTAACCAATCGATGTTGCGCAGATGCGCATTGCACCGTTGCTGAGCCGCAGTCTTGACGCACGGCAGTTCATCCCACCTCCTGTGATTTTACAGTGTACTATCCGAACTGTATTGTTCCCTGTCTAGCACCGTGCTTGCTTGCATGTATGTCTCGATCTCATTGCGTTGATACCTCGCGGTCGTGAAGGCAAGAATTGGAGGTTAACTCCGTGGACTACTGTACAGATCGACACGAGTGTGTTCATGCAGCGGATTGCGTACTAGTACATATATGCCATACATACGATGGCCCGCCCCCGGGGGATGCATATGCAGGCGAAGCCTTGGGCGCGAATGGGGGGACAAATCTCACGCACTATTACATACCCCCGCACCTGCTGTATTTGTCTCGCATGGCCCTCTGACGTGCCCATCCTGAGTTCTTGGAATGTATGTATGCTCCCATTCGCCGGACCCTGGTGGGCGACTACGTCGCGATCACGTGTCTGAAGCCACAGTCACGGCTTGCCCATCATGATCAGTTTTGGAACTTACCAACTTCAACGGACTTGCAACTGTGTCGTCTTCTACTTCCATAAGTAACACTGCTTGACTTTGATGCTTTGGTATCGTAATCATGACTTGGGTCTTTGGCTGGCCTCTCTATAATGACGACGCGCTCAAAATCGCGAAGAGGCGCAATCTTGTCAAGTCGGACCCGAACGCGGGAGATGATCAGCGCATCCAAGCAACCCGGCTGTGGGTCGCGGACCAGATCGGTATTGTTCCTGTGCTCTCCTGCTGGGTTGACGACTTCCCGGAAATTGTTTACGCTGCATATGTTGACTATGGCGACAACCGCTATCCTCCGCCTGATCTCATCCGCGAGAACATGACGATGTCCGACAAGAACTATCGTCGCCTCAAGAAGGTGATGCCACTCAAGGATCTTGGCTGGTATCAGTACAATGACCCGTCCTGCGAGCTATACAGTAAGCTGCATGTGCCCTGATATCTCTTCGACGCAATTGATGTTGGATGAAGAGGAGATGGGTGATGAAGAGGGCGACGACAGTGACGAGGGCAGCGCGACGGATATCGATGGAGATGCAGGCGATGGAGAAGACGATGATGATGATGCGCCGACGAACATTGTCGACGACGACAAAGACACGGCTGGGAAGCGACACTGAGACAGTCACCGACGGTGAAGTCTCGAAGTTGGACTCGCGCTCGGAGGACTCCGGCCCCTCTGAGGCAAACCCTTCCGACGGATTTTGGTGAGTGTATGATCATGCATGATTGAGACTGCCTCTTGACCACTTACTATTGTGCAGATACGTGTTGCACCATCGCCGAACCACAGCCTTGACGCGTGCCACATCCTCTTGTCGTTGGTAGTGTATGAATACTGTATCATTTGTGTCATTGATCTAGCACCCTGTCCTGTATTTCCCCGCCACTGCCATCATGCAATGCTGCATTATTCCTTGCCTGCTTGTCTGTCTCGTTCCTATCTCCTTTGCCTCATGTCGTGAGGCAAGGACTTCCCACAGGCTGACCGCCGTACTCTAGCTCGACTACCGCCTTTCATCCACGGGTACGACCTCCTCCATGACCATCCCCGTCTCCGGCGAGCGCCTCAGCGCCGCGTCCCCGCCCGTGCGTAACACCTCCCACTCCCTCGCCTCCAAGCGCCCCCGGCTCGACGACAGCCCCCACCTCTCTACACACAGCAACTCCATGCCCGCCCTCCCGCAGTCGCTCAACCTTTCCTCCCTCGCTGCCAGCCCGAGCGGCTCCAGCGGCATGCCGCACTACCCCTACCGCCTCGAGGTCGACATGAGCTCCGGCTACCCCGTCCAGACGGGCTTCACGCCCCTCCACTCCGCGCCCGGCCTCCCGCCCACACAGAGCGCGAGCCATCCCTCGCTCCAGTACGCCAGCTCCGGCCTCAATCTCGGCATGAACGGCGTGGGCAGCGGGCTCGGCTCGCAGAGCGCCCCCGCAGGCTTCGTCTCGCAGCTGGGCTCCCAGGGCTCCGGCGGGTACGGCATGGACATGGGCGCGGGCCACCATCCGTCGCTGCGCACGGCCGGCTTCCTCGGTAGCCAGCATAGTCAGCACGGCTCGGCGTCGCCGTATACACCCCAGCAAACACTAGCGCCGATGTATCAGCAGCAGCAGCAGCAGCAGCAGAGACAGGGAGGCGTGTCGTCGGCGACGGCGATGGCCCTGGAGCTGCTGGGCGAGGCGAATGGGGGTGGGGGAGGTGCGGGTGGAGGAGGGCAGGGCGGGATGCCGTCGTTCGACTGGCCGGTGCATGGGGGTGGTCAGCAGAGTCATCCAGAGAACGGTGCGTGATGCTCAATTGCCGCTCGGCGTCGCGCTCATGATTGTGGTCGTTCCCGGGACCCAGGGAGCGTGCACTCGGCCACGGACAACAGCAACTGGTTCGACTTCCTCTCCGGCACGTCCTCCTCGTCCGGCGCGCAGTCCAGCCAGCTCAGCGCCGCCTCGCTCTTCCCGAGCACGAGTGCGCGGGGATCCCGCACAGCGTCGGGATCAGCAGCGCCGCGCGGTCGATGGCGAACTTCGCCGTACCGACGTCTATGTCCGTGTCCCTCGCGTCGTCGCCGGGCACCGGGCAGAAGCGGGCGCGGGAGGACGACTCGGTGAGCGTGCACAGTATGCACAGCGTGCATAGCATGCATAGTGGCGGGAGTGGGGCGGGGGTGACCGGTCGGGAGAGGTCGGAGGAGAGAGCTCGCGTGGGGCGGAGGAGCGTGAGCGTGGACAAGCCGCCGAGCTAGCTGCCTGCGGGGCTCGGGGCTTTGGGCTTTGAGTTGAGGAGGCGGGCGGGCGGACCCTCCGTAGGACTGGCGGGCTGCCTTCGGGACGGTAGGTCCCTGTTCGCGCCCGGCCGAGCGCGAGCTGTGCTGGGCGCTGGCGGATGGACGCTCCCCTAGACGTGCGCGCCCTTGAACTCAGTGCGGACGCGTGTAGTGTGCCACCATCTGCGGACTTTTGCTGGACGGGGACGAGGGCGATGACAAAAGGGGAGTCCGTGTGGTTGTTGTTCTGCTTGTGACGAGAGACACTGTTCGCTGTCGTGCCTTCGTACTTTCGTACTTTCTTGTGCCATGCATGTCTTGAGCTGTACGTGTGCTGTGAGCCTGGGAGTGACCCCGGGTGGACGCTTGCTGTCGTGTATCTTACGATTTGTGTTAGTAGTAGTGGTCTTACGTAGGCGTTCCTCGTCGGATAGAACTTGAGCAAGCGTCTCTTCTGAGATGCACTGTGACCTTGTTGGTCCTTGCTCCTTGCAACAAAAACGCGCCGCGCAACTAAGCAGTGTTGCTCTGTGGTAGGTGGTGTCACGGCTGTACGTACGGTCTCAACTCCGGTTATTCTCGAGGCCATTGGCCTCAGATTGTACTTAGACTGGAACGAGCGATGCATTTTACTAGTCACGACACATGAAACATCGCAAACACTATATTGGGTCGGGATACAGGGACGATCTACATTACATCTCGGAACAAGTACAGACATTGTGGCTCAGAGTCGCGAGGGTCAGGGGCAGAGTAGAGCAGAGGGCATGAGTAAGAGGGGAATTGAGACTTGGTATACGTTCTTCAGGTTACACGTAGAGACTATTAGGTCGGGAAGCGGAACGTGATGTCAGGGTTCTGTCGCTGGATGGCATCCAGCATCCTGGATCGTTCCTCGATGCCATCGGGATGATCCCAATGGTAAAACTGCGACCACTCGTGTCTAGACACAGGTGGCTATCAGAAGACTGGCCAATTCATGGTGTGGATAGTGACGTACTCATCTGGAGGAACGGGCGCATCTTCCTCCTCTTCATTATCAGAGTCGACGTTCTGCCGTCCGGATGGTCCGGCGACGCGAGAGGCGTCCGCGGATGTCGATGCAGCCTCCTGTTCCGCACCACTCGTCGTGGCATCCGAATTGTCGGTATTTGGTCCACCAGTTGCTACGACTTCGTCACGTTCACTACGTTCGCGTGGTAGCTCAGTATTCTCCCTACCATCAATACGAAAGGGATGTAACTCACTCCTCCGAATGCATTAGCGGTGGCAACGCCAGTAGGAGCGCCTGTAGTGCAGGCTGACGTTTTGCCTGGCTCTTGCCAGTGTCCTTACCCTTCCCCTTGTCCTTCTGACCTGAGACCTTGCCGTGGCCTCTGGCCTCCGGCTTCGGCCTCGGCTTCGACACAGTCCTGGCAAAAGCTTTGGCCTTCCCTTTCAGTTTCTGATAGGTACTAATAGAACTCTGTTATCAATTAAATGAGGGGTACCAGCGGTCAGATGACTCACGAATTCTCCTCCTCTTCCTTGCCTTCCTCAGTCTTCGGTATTTCCTGTGTCTGTGTCGGTGCCCGATGCTGTCCATATCTCTTCCTAAGGACCTATGAGCAGGACGGCAATATGAGAGCGAGAGAAAATCATACACTGGCCGTCGATTGCGCTTGGGTCGTTCGTTTCTGGTACAGTGCTCAGTGTCGTCCTGAGAGGAGAGACGTGGAAAATACTCACACTGGACCTGCTGCTGACCTGGAAGCATTGGAGATCTCATGACGCATGGACAGAGATGCTGCGCTGTGACCAGAGCATCTGACATCACTCGCTGCTCGATAACAAAGGAAGCTTACTAACGTCGCATCGTGCTCGTCAAAACTGTCATCATCGGCCGGCCCGGAATCCTTGTACGTTGAGTCAACATTGCTAGATATGTCACTCGCTTCATCCCGAGCGAAGATTCTCCACGAAAAGAAGGGTCCAAAAATTGCAATGGCCACAACCTCGTCAAGATCTCTGTGGGCAGAGAGGTGTAGAGAAACCTGATGCCGCGCGCCCGATTGCGCCTCAGTCTGGTTGCCCGACACCCGTCTGTCCAGCGTGTGCTGGAAGCGTTCACCCGCTGGTATTTTGTACGGGTCCGGTAGAGCCTTGATTTCGCAAATCGCGAGGACAATAGAGTTAGTGACGGTGTAACTGCCCTGGTAGAATTGTAGCAGCTCCTCGAGGTTCGTCACTTGCAGTAGAGAGCGGATGTCGTGGTACAGAGGGACTCCCGTGACGTAATGGAGAACGAAGTCAGGAACCCTCTTCTTCAGCGCGACACCGCCGTCATTCGTATGTTGCTGCTTGACAACCTCGGATTGAGGCCCGACATTGACTTTTCGAGGATCCACGACGCCGTAGAACGCTTGCGTCCAAAACCCGTACCACGGCCATTCAAGGGTCCGGCCCAAGAAGTTACCAGGATTCCCAGCAAAAGCTTGTATGACGGCGAGAGTCTTTCGTATGAACAGCCTGAACGCCATCGCGGGGACGTAGCGGTGGAGGTACTATGCGGAGGAGATGATACGAAGTTCGATGGGTATCGCTGGCCCTTTTATACGACTGCAATGCATGGCCTAGCGCGTGGCCAATGACCCGATGAATCGTGTGGTCACAGTGGCAACGACAACTTCCTTCATTGGACATGTCACGGTGGGACCATTGTGGTCGTCGCCTAGGTTGCGTCGCCCATGCGACCCGATTAAGGATTAACCACACTGTGGCTCCAAGAACCACATCCTTGTGGTCAGCCACATCCATAACGGGCGTCGCCTACCACGGTGCCACACGATCGCCGATCGGTTGCTATGACCGATATGGCAGACAATGGCATTATGAACATCAAGCCACGGTAGATTCCGTTATTAAGCGCCGAAGCCACACCATCGTTCCCGTTTCTCCGAGACATTTATAGGCATCGTTGCTCTTTCACTCTCGAATCAACTCGCATCATCCTCTTCGTTCAACATGACTTGGGTCTTCGGCTGGCCTCTCTACGACGATGACGCCATCAAGATCGCAAAGGAGCACAATCTCGTCAAAAACCCAAACGCGAACGATGCTCAACGCGTTCAAGCAGCCAGGCTGTGGGTCGCGGACCACATTGGTGGCGTCCCTGTCCTCTGTTGCTGGGTCGACAACATGCCAGAGGTCGTGTACGCTGCATATATCGACTACGGGAACAATCGATATCCCCCGATAGAACTCGTCCACGAGGATACGATCTCCAGAAAGCAGTATCGCCGTCTCAAGCGGGCGATGCCGCTGAGGGATCTTGGTTGGTACCAGCACGACGACCCATCTTGCGAACTCTATGGTGAGCTTATTAACCCTACCCTTATGTTTCTTCGACGCGACTGATGTTGTCAATGCAGAGGAGACGGTTTACGAGGATGTCGATGACAGTGACGAAGAAAGTGACGAGGGTAGCGACACCGATGGCGATGAAGATAGCGGCGAAGGAGGTGATAACGAAGTTGCCTCGATGAACATCGCCAGCGTTGACGAAGACACGGCTGAGAGCGATAATGAAACGGTGACCGACGGTGCGGTCTCGAAGTCGGACCTACTCCCAGAGGGCTTCAGCCCCTCTGAAGCGGTTCAGTCATTGCCAACGGATTTTGGTGAGTGTGCCACACTTGATGGGAAATGACGCTGTTGGCTGATGTTGCACGCAGATGCCCGTTGCACCATTACCGAGCCGTAGCCTTGACACAACGCAGTTCACCCCATCTCCGCCTGTCGTCGTACTGTCTAAACTCTGTATCGTTGATCTACTACCTCCGTGACTCCTGTATCATCCTGTCATTGCCATCGATGTTGCATTGTACTTTATATGCATGATTGCCCCAACTTCATTACGTTCAACCTGTCTCGTGGCTCTGCCGTTATGATGGCGGAGACCTTTCTCAGGCTGGCCAACAGTCACGCTGGACTTCTGTGTGAGCGGGCGCGAAGTGAGTATTTTGACCTGGCGTTGTTACGAGCCAACTTTGTATCGCGTTGGACGCCTTCAGGCCTCCATACTCTGGACGTCCGACGTCCATCTCCGTTCGTATGTCATTGGCCGGGCGATCATGTCACGATCACATGACCGAAGCCACATTTGATCGTGTCCAAACCGTGTCGTCTTCATTGTTCAAGCTCACCGGTTGCAACCCGCATACTTACACTGATCCGAGGGTTACCTCTGTCCTCCTCTTTCAATCTCTGCGCTCTGCTTGCGTGTTTATAATTGACATGACCTGGGTGCTCGGCTGGCCCCTTTATGACGACGATGCGATCGAAATCGCGAAACAGCACCATCTCGTCAAGGACCCGAATGCGCCAGAATATCGGTACATCGAAGCAGCCCAGCAATGGGTCGCAGCTCAAGTCGGCGTGATCCCTATACTCTCCTGTTGGGTCGACAGCCTCCCTGAGCTGTATCATTTGTATTTTGAATCCGGCACCCTCTCCTGTATCAAGCCCCCATCGCCATCGACATCGCATTCTTCCTTGCCCACTTGTCTGTCTCAATTCAAACTTGAATCCGTTCATCTTATGTCGTGACATCGCTGTTTGCAAGCCTGGCGAGACCTTGAGGCGATCACTCCTCGAAAGCAGCATACTTATACTCTGATAGGCTCAGGCTGGGCGGTGTGTCGCGATCACATGCCGGAGGCCACACTCGTGTAGCCGGCCGCGCGCATCAGTGGGAGTTGCCACTGGCGTACCGTACGGGTATCCCCAAACCTCCCCACCCTCTTCAAAACGGTTGCATCTAGGGTACCATTTAATCACACCTCCCTTTACACGCCTACCCGCACGTACTCCGTCGCGATTCACCTTCGAAATGACTTGGGTGTTCGGATGGCCCCTCTACTTCGAGGACGCAGTCGAGATATCCCAGAAACACAACCTTGTCAAGGAACCTGTCGTAAACGAGCATGCCTACATCGACGCAGCGCAGTGGTGGGTCGCGTGCAACGCGGGCTTCCCTCTTGTCTTCGCCTGCTGGGCCGACGACGAGCTCCACTACGTTTTTGCTCTGTATGTCGACTATCGAGACAGAGCCCATCCCCCGGGCGTCATCTTGTCCGACGACGTAATGCCCGCTAAACAGAGACGTCGTCTCAGGGAATCTATGCCTCTCAGGGACCTGGGTTGGTACCGACATAACGATGGATCTTGGAGACCTTACCACGGAGAGGCATGGTTGAACGTTGACCACGGATTTCAACCCGAAAGACGAATTGGCCGCTGTTCTGGATGACGACTACCATATCGCGGTCACGTGGTATGAACGATGTCCGAAATTAATCGGCCTGGCAGACCCAAGAATAATATACAATATCGTAGATACCTCACTGCACGTCTACCGATCTATATCTTGCTTCAGTTTCGTCCATCCGGGTATCCCATCTACGCAGTCTTCAAGTTACGCATATCCACCACACGGTCCTCGCACACGCGGTATGCGTCCACCAGCCCCGCGTACAGCGCGACGTTCGTCTCCTTGGGCTCCGCGACGCACTTCATGCGCTCGCCCACGACGTCCGACGCGCGCATCTCCTCGAACGTGCCCTCGCCGCCGTTCTGCGCGCGCCACCACGCGTACCGCGCGAGCTGCGCGCCGCCCTCCGCCGCGCCCTCCTTGCCCGCGACGAAGACGCGCATGCCGAACACGTCCGCGGCGAGCTGGCGGATCACCGCGTTCGCGGAGGACCCGCCGCTCAGCACGAGCCGCTGCAGTGGGGCGGCGTCCGGTGGTAGGATCGCAGCGATGCGTGAGCGGATGGAAAGGAACTGCGACTCGAGGATCGCCCGGGGGTGTGCGGTGCGCGGCATCTCTGCGTCAGTGATCATGCGCGCGTCTGACGGCGAGACGGAGGGGTTGGTACGGAAGAAGAAGGATCCGTGGACGCTTGGGGGGATGATCTCGGGGAGCGGGAAGTAGAAGCCCATGTAGCCAGCGTTGCCAGCCGGCGTCTGCTCGACGAGCGCATTGAACTGTGTCCAGTGCCCGTCGGCGTAGGCGTCCCGGACCTGTTCACGTGCGAGCGCGCCGTTCTTGTAGCAGAGCATAGCGATGTGCGCATCGATCGTGGTAGGGTGAGAAAGGAGGTGTGAGGTCGTGAAGCGCTTGGGCGCGGAGTCGGAGGGAGGGATGGAGAGTAGGAGAGTAGTGGAGGTCCCGAGGGAAAGGATGGCATCTCCGGGAGTGGAGAGTGCGACGACGGTGGCTGGGTTATCACCTGTGAACGGCGCGATGCAGCAGGCTACAAGGAGTAAAGGGATCCGTCAGAACCACGCTTGCACACGGCGCTGAGAACTTACCGGGGTTAAAGCCCCAACGCCCCACCCACCATGGACTGATCGTGCCCAGCACGGTACCACCCGGAGCGGGCTCTGGCCCGATCTTTTCCCGCAGCTCCGGGCCTCCGCACGCGTCCAACAGAGTATCGTCCCACTTGCAGGTGAGTACATCCATCAGGTTCATTCCACTCGCATCTGACACCTCGATGGGAGCGATTGACCCCAAGAAGAGCGAAGGCATGAACGAAGACACCAAAGAAATCCGCGCCGTTGCCTCATACGCTACGGGGTTCGTGCGACGAAGCTAGGATGTGGGCCCATGGTCAATTCGGAATGCCAAACTCGCGTCGTGTGACTGACCTTGGCGATTTGTGTGCCAGTGAACCGCTCGTAGGCACGGCTTCCGGTCAGGTCCGCGAGCGCCTGTGCACCGCCGACGGCTGCTTCCAGTTCGCGGCACTCGCGAGTTGTGGAGGAGTCCTGCCAGATGGGCGCGTTGGGGAGCGAGAACGCGCCAGGAGACAACTGCTCCAGCGGGCATTCTGGGTCGAGCGTCGCGAGCATACGCTCGGCGTCATCAGACCAGTACACGGATCCGTGTTGCTGGAAAGGCTGTATGAGCATCACGATGAGAGACGATGGGGATCCATCGAACCTGTCCGTCGCCAGAGATGCTCAGAATCCGCCCAAAGTTGACGTTCGCGGCCTTCATCCGCTCCATGAGGAGGTCGAAGGCCTCGAGCCACATGCATACGGGAGAGGTGACTTCGCCAGGGCCAGGACCGCGGATGGCACCGTTCGTGGTCGCGTAGTTGGGGAGGTCGCGGTCGAAGTTGACAGATGATTCATGTACGACATCGCTGTCCTCCGTGATCAGTACGGCCTTGAGACCTTGGGTGGAGAGGTCGAGGCCGAGGAAGAGGGGTGAGGTCTCCATGGTCAGGAAGAGGGCCTCACGCGGGAGGTAGGGGTTTATGTGGGGTGTGGGGTAGTGTTGCGGAGGATGGGGAAGACAAGATCCCGACTGTCGGGTGCGGAGAGGGGCTTTATAGGATGATGCGAGCGCGCCGGGGAGGCTAGCGAGTCGGAAGGCCGGCAGGGGATGGCGAGAGGGAGAGTGGATGGTCCATCGGGAAAATGGGTCGAGCGTTCTGGGCTGAGAGAGCGGGCGGGCGGGCCTGCAGCGGACCCTGGCCGGGACATTATCGGTTTCGCCGCGCGACATACGACGGCTATGCTCCGGACCGACGACGCGTTCCAATCAAACGCGCCCACGTGATCTGGGGAACGCGCCATGCATCATCACCTCCCCACCTCTTCCCCGCACAACCCCCGAAGATGCACACGTAATTGGCTCTATGAAGCTCGCAGAAGCACTTACGCACGCATCCTCACCCCCGGCTGAAAATGGTATGCTTCACAATCGTCCACTGTCCAGACCCGGGTTCTCGACCGTCCAGGGCGTTGCTTACTGCTTGGGGATGGCCTCGCACTATAAAGCCGCTCAAGACCAGTCACCCTGCAGATCGAGACGCAGCAGGTGCATGGCCAAGAATCGCAGCATTGGACCTTCTGCCCGACGATCAGCGTAAGTCGTCATGAGACTGCAATAGCACCCTACTGTGATTTCATCTCAGCTGTTACGATATTGAAAGCCATGGGGGCCTTACCTTATTGGCCCCACCGCGCATCTACTACTGTAGAGTTTTATCGAACGCCGGACAGGGCAACGGTCGAGCTTTTTGAGAACATCCTCGACTGAGAGAACCTACCGCCAGACTGGTATAGGTTTCAACCAGGTTTGTCAACGAGCACCCAAGGTCGCGTGAGGATACTGCGCACCGTGTAGAATCACCATCATCCAGACACATCAGGGGGAGAGACCACCCGTTCGGTACTCAGTACGTACGCTGCCTTCAACGTGCAGTGTGCCGCGATGCAGCTCCCGCTGTATCGCCTTGTGGGCCGTTGGACGCCTGGCCATGGGATTTGACAGATGCCACTGCGGCAGCAGCAATCAGCAAATTGCTGGTTCCTGAACACCCTGTAGCGACAATGAAACCACGGAATTATTGGTGACATACCAATGTGGAGGGGTGAATACTCACCACCTCATGATTGAGAGCGTCGTTTGCTACTAGCAAGAGCACGAATGCGGCCTTTGCAGAATCCGGAGGACTGGAGAGGTCGAGAGTAACAATGTGACAACGCGCTAATGAGCTCGGCGGTGTGGCGGCGGCAGCTTTCTTGCGGAGGCTTGGCTACGGCCATCATCCGGCTTCGAAACGCCCGGTCACAACAGTAAGAAGTGGATTGTCACGCTCGTTTACAACTCGTTACGAATACTGATGGGCTGTACTACTTATGTCGGGCCGGGATCTCGGTCACATCGTGAACATCGCTCACTGTTCTCTCAGGAATATCGGGCAAACAGTACACCAGTATGCTACCACGACTTACAACTACCTGCGCAGGTACTTACATACTGTGTGTTTTGCAGAAGAGTTTTGTCTGTGGCACTCGACTGACCGAGTAGCCCAATAACCCGGCCGAAATCCCGGTATGACTGGAAATGTGACGGCCCATCAACGATGGAAGCTGTGCCGTCTCCATGCGAGTTTCAGGCCAATCTCATCAGACGTGTGACACAGCCGCCAGGACTAGGAAAACAATATAAGGACAGAGACGATGGTATTGCGCCTCTAGGACGTTCCGGGAACACCCCTTGGTACTGGTTGCTTTTTTCATTTCAGTTTCTTCTACCACCCCTTTTGCCCCACTTTCTAATTCTTCGTCATGAACGCCTTCTTCGGTCTCCTTATTGCATCGCTGTGCGGTCTTACGAATGCACTCTACATCCCTGTACGAGTCAGTCATGATACTCAGGTCTCCTCCCGTGGAACTGGTGTCCACAACCCTGCCATTCGCTTGGTCGGGTCGTTCCGTCAGCAGGATGCAAACAACGACAGCGTTGTAAACTTCCAGGATACGGTGGTACGCTTTATTATTCTGCCAGTGATCGAATTTCAGCGTCTCACCGATCACTAGTATGCTACGAACATGACGATTGGTGGCGAAGGTATGTTTTGATCGACTGTCTCACGTTCCTTCTTACTGAGATTCACGCACCTCGTCTACAGAGCTCCTCATCCAGTTGGACACCGGATCTTCCGATCTGTGGGTCAACCTCGAGGCCGGCGAAATCGAGTTCACGAACACGACGGACCTCCCGGCTGAGGAAGCATACGGCATTGGGCATGTCACCGGCACCATCCAGTTCGCTAATGTTGAGTTGGGTGACAACATTGTGCCCAACCAAGGTACGAGTGCGGGCTACATGTCAGGAAATTGCAAGCTAACTCTTCGCTCACAGCGTTCATGAACATCTCGAACGCGACGGACTTCGGCACGATCTTCAAAGATGACGTGCGCGGTATCCTTGGTCTCGCATTCGATGCGGGTTCTACCGTCGAAGGCACTATTACTCAGGTCTACGGGAGTGACTCGACCCTCGGCCGTTCCTTCCTCTCGAACCTCTTCATGCAGAACGAGACCAAGCCCCTCTTCACCGTCCAGCTCGGTCGTACGGATGACCCACAGTACACCACCGAGGGCGCGTTCACCATTGGCGAATACCTGCCTGAATTCGAGACCGTCTCGGACATGCAGAAGCTCTACCGCTTCCCCAACAATGGCACAGGCGCGGCTCCCCGCTGGTCCACTATTCTGAGCGGCATGACCATCAACGGCAAGCCCTTCCAGTTCAACGCGTCCGGGGTCCCTGATACGCCGGAGGGCTCCGTCGTTGCGGTGCTTGACACGGGTTTCACGTTCCCGCCCATCCCTGGCGCGGCTGTGGAGGCTATTTACGGTGGCATCAATGGTTCGTACTACGACACGAACA